GACAGTCAGGTCATGTACCCATAGCAGTGACCAGAGGAGAAAGGACTGCTTGGAGGAGCACAGAGTGAAGAAAGGCCATGGAGCATCTGCAGCAGCACAACCAGACGCCTTCATCTGCTCCAGCTTCAACTAAACATGTCTCTCCTGTATCGGTCTCCACAGCCACAACAGATGCTGCTACCTGCCAACACTTTGACTTCACCTCCAAAGGTGCATTCCTCCATTGTTTCCTGGGACAGACAGATGCCAGCCAACAACCATCAGCAATACCGGGTGCCCTGGAAGGATGAAGGAAGCCTTTTCCATTCTCTCATGAAACAGCTAAGTTGTGCAGCATTCTGTGGAGGAGTACAGCAAACGGGTTCCTCCATACTTGGAGAAGTCTCAGGAGAGAAAGTCAGTGAATTCTCTTTCCCAACAGAGCAGTTTTCCTAATCAGACACACTACAGCTCGTAACGCTAATTGCCTGTATATGCAACGTGCCAAACGAATTCTTGCTCATGTGGCAATTGTCATGTAAATGGCATTAAATTGTTTAATTTAAATGATTAAGCAGCAGCAGGAGGGGAGGAGCCACCAGGACAAGAGCAGAGCAGGTAAACTTTCGTCATCTGTTTGCTGCTGTCCCTACAGAAAGAGAACTGGGGGATCATTCATGGAGAAGGACCCACCCCATTCAATGTGACTTACAATATTTTAGGCAAAAGAACTACATACATAAAACCCATATTTTTTCTTTAAAAACCTAAATGAAAATTCTATTTAAAAAATAGATCTAGTTAGAGATCAGTGACATAGATGATAGATGATAGATAGATATTGATAGATAGATGATGATAGATAGATTTAAGTGACAGTCTGATGCACACATAGATGGAAAAAAACTGCACTGAACTCTGGAACTTATTTTGGAGTGAATATGCATAGGGTCAAACTGAATGTGTTCATTATAAGTCGTGCTGGAAGGTTGGAAAGCGTTCTTCTTATCAGTATGCCTCATTACATATTACCACTTTAGTTTCAGGGAACGAAGCACAGAACTGACAGATGCATCTTATTTAATTAAACAGATTTCATTATGCAGGACGAGTTTTGATTAGACCTTCTTAGGCCACTGCTGTGATTCTAAGCTGGTGTACTGAAGCAACAGTAGCTAAGAGTTCTACGGAGATGCTAATTGCATTACGAGAACTGGTCTAATATCCTCCCACCCCCTTTTCAAAATAAGCTTTCTGCATTGGAACACATCACTAAACCACATTATAGGCAGCTGTACATTAACATTTTTGCACCTTTAGAAATACTCATAATTGAAAACAACAAAATAGGCAACAACCTCTACAACAAACCCACTGATGCCCACACCTACCCAAACTGGAAACCTTGCCAGCCAAAACATATTGTTGCATGGCAAACCAATATTCCAGGTTTGGTTTCTGCAGAATGAGGGACAGTGGAAACTGTGGTGTTTTTATGATATTTGGTTTATTTACACATATACACAACCTGTCAATAATAATGATTATTATTATTTATTATTTATTTGTACCCCGCCCATCTGGCTGGGTCTCCCCAGCCACTCTGGGCTGCTTCCAACAGAGATTAAAAATATATTAAAATGTCATTAAAATTTCAATATATTAAAATGCCAGAAGATCTTGCTTCTCCCATAGTCACAGTCTTGAATTTAAGCAGAAATCAAGCATGTCTCCCCCTCTCAGGTTTCTACCTGCCACCTACTTCTAACTTTAAGTTCTCACACACCTTTCAATTCTGGTTTTTGTTCTTCTAACTATCGGCCAGTAAAGGGAGAGGGCCCCATCCATTTGCTCTCTAGCACAGATCGGTAAGAACATTTTTTAAAAAAATGTTCACTGCATACAATAAAATGATACAAGTAAGCCAGCATAATTAAATAACAGGAACTAAGTAGCAGAGAAACGATGAGTGGTCCCTGAAGAATGCATTGTTGGGGATATGCTGACAGCCTGTTTGATGGAGCTCCCTGGGACATAGTAGCTACTTGATGCTGATAGCTTTGTGGTCTTAGTCAGTTCCCTGTGGGTCCTGCTGGAGCAGAAGGACATTTCAAGGAATTAAATATTCACAAGTTTGACTGATGTCTTATAAGAACTGGATTTCCGGAAAATGATTGATTAGGGAGGCCTACAAAAGCATCAGGCAAGTAGAGGAGATGGATTTGTGAAGGGACAGTGCGGCATATATGAATTGTGCTTACTGACTCAAACCAAGGCCCATCTCTTCCCAATTTCCTCAACCTGGTGCCCCCACCCATTTGATTTGGATTACAATGCCCATCATCCACAGCCAAATGGGGCTTCAAAGCATAGCATTGCCTAACGTAATTGTGACTCCTTGCCCCCTTGTCAAACTATTACTGTATGCAGGCCTCATCAGAAACAAAGTTAGTTTAACTACTAATTCAGCTCACAGTGAGTTTCTACCTGAACAGCTGAAGACGACACATGGTGTCAGAAGTGGGATGTGGCAGCCCATGGATTTTGAAACTGGAAGCACAGCAGAGAACTGGACAAGGTGGAAAGAGCTGATGGAGTTGAGATTTGCAGGAGCAGAGGCAGACAAGTGACTAGGCAAATAGAAGCAGGCTCATCTTTTTCCAACCAAGGCCATAGTTCAGTGGTAGTGCACGTTTCTGTGCAAAAGGTCCCAGGTTCAGTCCCCAGCATCTCCAAGTAGGATTGGGAAAGAGACTGGTTCAAAACACTGCTGAGCAACAACTAGTCATTGTAGACAATCCTTGATGGATGTTCATCCCTGCACCTCCTGTCACACATTGAATTTTTGGCTTGTCCTAATGCCTTCATATGGTCTGAAGCTCAACATCAAAAAAACTAAGATCATGGCCACTGGTCCCATCCCCTCCTGGCAAATAGAAGGGGGGGGGGAATGGAGGCAGTGAGAGATTTTACTTTCTTGGGCTCCATGATCACTGCAGATGGTGACAGCAGCCACAAAATTAAAAGACGCCTGCTTCTTGGGAGAAAAGCAATGACAAACCTAGACAGCATCTTAAATAGCAGAGACATCACCTTGCCAACAAAGGTCCGTATAGTTAAAGCTATGGTTTTCCCAGTAGTGATGTATGGAAGTGAAAGCTGGACCATAAAGAAGGCTGATCGCCGAAGAATTGATGCTTTTGAATTATGGTGCTGGAGGAGACTCTTGAGAGTCCCATGGACTGCAAGAAGATCAAACCTATCCATTCTTAAGGAAATCAGCCCTGAGTGCTCACTGGAAGGACAGATCCTGAAGCTGAGGCTCCAATACTTTGGCCACCTCATGAGAAGAGAAGACTCCCTGGAAAAGAACCTGATGTTGGGAAATATGGAGGGCACAAGGATAAGGGGATGAAAGAGGACGAGATGGTTGGATAGTGTTCTCGAAGCTACCAGCAAGAGTTTGACCAAACTGTGGGAGGCAGTGGAAGACAGGAGAGCCTGGGGTGCTCTGGTCCATGGGGTCACGAAGAGTCGGACACGACTAAACGACTAAACAACAACAACAAAATGCCTTCATAGGGCTACTGGAAGTGGTACGGAATCTATTTGAAAGACTCTCAATCATTTCTCATCCAGGCAGTTATTCCAAGGTGAGAGGAACATAGGAAGCTACCTTATATTGAGAGCATCGGTCCATCTAGACTGACCAGCAGCAGCTCTCGAGGCAGAATTGTTTTCCAGCACTACCTGAAGATGCCGGAGATTCAATTTGGGACTTTCTTCATGCAACGCAGGTGCTCTATAACCCTTCAAAGGGACCAGGACACACACACACATGAGAGAGAGAGAGAGAGAGAGGGAGAGGGAGAGGGAGAGAGAGAGAGAGAGAATACCCTTTGCAAACATGCAGGCTGTTTTTCATAACCATGCAGCAATCCTTTATTAATAAGGTACCATTCTTAAATATATTGATACACGATGCAGACGTGTTCTCACCTTCCTGAAATCTTTTTTTCCTTTTTCAATGGAATCACAGAGAGTTCAATATGAAACAACACTTAATGAGGCCTGGCTACAAGTCCCATTCAGATTACAAGATAACTCATGGTATATAGATATAGTCAAGTATTAAAATAATGTGTCTGGCCACCCTTTCAGATCAGTTCCAGCAAAGAAGCTCCCTAGCAACAAAGGACAGCCTTAGGGGAGTCTCTGAACACAGTCTGCATCCGTATTTATTCATCTTACTTCCCCTCATTACCTTTCATTATTTCTAGCTTATCCCCATGAATCACCCTGAATATTTCCTCTCACTCCCAGTTGTTTACAAAGCAGCGCCTCCAGGCTCTTTGAAGCTGCCCCTCACTTTTCACTGGGAATTTAATCCTCACTTATAAACACTGCGCTTCCTGCATCCTGATTAATTTTGGCTTCCGGATTATTATGTTTTCTCAGACAGGCTTTGGGGGGTGGGGGGAGATTCTGGCTGACTTTGCCACCTGCTGCACCAACGTTGAGAGTTTACGCTGCCTTTTCCCCAGCCCAGGGCCCTTCAGACATTTCGGACTACGACTCCCACCTGCCCCATCCAGCAGATCCAGAATTGGGGGATGATGGGAGTTGTAGTCCAAAACAAATGTAGGTTCACCAGGTTCGGGAAAGGCTGGTTTATATGCTTGGCAGCAACAGGCAGGGCACCTTGAGGTGAAAAGCGAGGAGGTCACTGCTCCCAGTCAACTTTCAGGCCTGTTTGTTGTGGGTACCTCAGAGTGGGTTCCTGTGAATTCAGTGGAACATAATAAAAAAACATAATGCCTGTGGGAAACCTGCAAGCTGGTCTCATCCTTTTATATTCTCATGACAGTTCCTCCAGTTTGCAGATGAGCCCAAGGGCCTGGAAAGTTGGCAACCCCCAAATCTACCCCATACAGGCAGAAAGCATAGACTCACAGAACTGTAGAGCTGGAAGGGACCAAGAGAGTCATCTAGTCCAACCCGCTGCAAATGCAAGAATCTATTGCTCCAAGTGAGACTCGAACCCAGACCCTGAGATTAAGAGTCTCATCCTCTACCAATTTGCAGAGATCTGTGCTGATTGCCAGTTTGCTATGGGCCAAATTCAAGGAGTTACTATTAGTATATAAACCCCTTCACAACTTAGGACTAGTTTACCTACAAGGGTCGCCTTACCCCAGATGTGCCCACTCAGCCGCTTTGATTGGCGGAACTGGCACTACTACAGGTGCCACACAATACCTGTGACGCATTTGTAAGAACTCAGTCATTTAGTGTGGCAGTGCCTAAACGTTGGAAAACTCCCTGCCTATTGAGTTCAAGCAGGCGCCTTCACGTTCCTCTTTTCTGTGCTAAAGACATTCTTGTTTAGACAAGCCTACCCAGGTGCTTAGAAAGCTGAGGTGATTTTAATCCGTTCCAGCTTTTGTGTGTTTTAAAGTAGGGTTGTAAATTTATATTGATTTTATTATCCTATCCTTTTGTAAACCACTTTGAGGTCTTTTTCGTGGAAGCTGTGGCAAGAGCGAGGAGATGGAGCAGCATTTTCCACCCCCCTTCCCTTGTGCTCTCCCAAAAAGAAAGCAAAGTCCAAGATATTTTGCTGCCTGAGGCAAAAGACAGCGCAGCTCACGCACACAAACTCAGTCATTCCGCTTGTAGGGCTAGACAGGCAGGTGAAAATTACTTCAGCGCTGGTGCTGAGGCAGCAGCACCCACCACATCTGAAGGCAGCAGGCCAATTTAGGGGGTGCAAAGTGAGCCAGCATGGGGAACGATGGAGGGCTGCTGCTACGACATCCGCCTCCTGAGGTGGCAGCCTCAATCTGCCCTGCAAGAGAAAGAGGATGGAAGTTTGCAGGGTCCTTATTCAGAGAGGGACACACTGAGGGCAGTTTGTAGAAGAACCCCCCCAAACCTGGAGCTAGTGTTGTGAGTCGAGGACCCTCCACCCGCGTAGTGGTAAAATAAGACACAAGGACACATGTATTTTAGGTTAATGTGCTAAAGAAGGTCACAACTTTATTGGTTACAGCATGTGAGTGGTATTAGCTTAGGCACTGGATCAAACAACCTATGCAGTGGTACCTCGGGTTAAGTACTTAATTCGTTCCGGAAGTCCGTTCTTAACCTGAAACTGTTCTTAACCTGAAGCACCACTTTAGCTAATAGGGCCTCCTGCTGCCGCTGCGCTACCGGAGCACGATTTCTGTTCTCATCCTGAAGCAAAGTTCTTAACCCGAGGCCTATTTCTGGGTTAGCGGAGTCTGTAACCTGAAGTGTATGTAACCTGAAGTGTGTGTAACCAGAGGTACCACTGTATTTGACTCCACCCCATGCAGCCGGGTCATTATAAGGTTAACAACCAGTGGGAGGAGCTTGTTGATGCAAATACAACTGGAAGCTTCCCCTGATGTCACCGGGGGTTGTGCCATGGCCCTAGCCACCAGCAGGGCATTGGACAGGATCCACGACCGCCGGATTCCTTTAACGGAATACCCAAAAAGGGGAGGGGTAGGTGATGGCCACACCCCGCCCACCAACACATGACACATATTCCAGTGCCTAACCACCACCCAAGCCGAAGTGGTGCCCTCCCTGTGGAACGCCCTCCCACCAAATGTCAAAGAGAACAACAACTACCAGACTTTTAGAAGACATCTGAAGGCAGCCCTGTTTAGGGAAGCTTTTAATGTTTGATGGATTACGGTATTTTAATATTTTGTTGGAAGCTGCCCAGAGTGGCTGGGGTAGCCCAGCCAGATGGGTGGGGTATAAACAATAAATTATTATTGTTGTTATTGTTGTTGTTGTTGTTGTTGTTGTTGTTGTTGTTCATGTAAGAAGGAAGAAGAAGAAGAAGAGTTTGGATTTGATATCCCGCCTTTCACTCCCTTTAAGAAGTCTCAAAGCGGCTAACATTCTCCTTTCCCTTCCTCCCCCACAACAAACACTCTGTGAGGTGAGTGGGGCTGAGAGACTTCAGAGAAGGGTGACTGGCCCAAGGTCACCCAGCAGCTGCACGTGGAGGAGCGGAGACGCGAACCCGGTTTCCCAGATTACGAGACTACCGCTCTTAACCACTACACCACACTGGCAGAGGATAGAGGAGAGAACAGCTGCTGTTGACGACGCAGAGATCTTGATCCGACGACTTCAGGGAAGCAGAATGAGGCCTGGGGCTGCCGCGGCCGCTTGAATGCGGCTAGTCTGGTGGGCAGGGTGCTATTGGCTGGCCTGGTGAGCAGGGCGCGACAGCCAGGAGAGTGACGCGGGAATGGCTCCCGCTCACAACACCTCCCCTCTGGGAGGAGAAGAGGCTTTGTCACAGAAGTTCAGAGGAAGTCTGCACCCCTTTCATTATGGTCCTTGGCTATGTAATGTGAGCATGTTTTGGTTGAATGAGGAGTCAGGCGTGGAGCTTGTGGATTTCATTAGCCAGTGTTTGAGTGCCCTGCTTCATTCAATTTTTGTTCTGCCATCTGTCAGCCTCCTTGCGCAATCACGGCAATGCATCTGAATTCTCATCAACTTTTGAATCAAGACCTCCACATATTTTAAAATAAAAATAAAAATAGTGTCATCCAAATAGCAGCAGCATCCAAATTGTCATTTCGGATAAATACGGCAGGATAAGACGCAACTCGCTTCCCACCTCGCCCCCATACTGTTGGAACAAGTCCAATGACAAAATGATAATTAGATTTCATTCCAAATTCATTCTCGTTAGAGGTTTACAAGGGGATAAAGGGGTTCAATTAATGATGTACATGATGACAAGTCTGCTTCCAATTACAAGCCCTTTGTGTGTCCTCTAAGGCAAAAGCTCCCTCTTGTGGAATTCTAGTCAAAATTCCACATAAAGCCCAGTTTTAGTAAAAAAAACTGGAGGCATTGTTTTAAGTAAGGACAACAGAGAGTCTGTAGCTCTTTAAAGGCTAAGACTAATAATAATAATTAGTCTTAGGACAGATCGTGGAGCTGAGGCTCCCATACTTTGGCCACCTCATGAGAAGACTCCCTGGAAAAGACCCTGATGTTGGGAAAGATTGAAGGCACAAGGAAAAAGGGGACGACAGAGGACGAGATGGTTGGACAGTGTTCTCGAAGCTACAAACATGAGTCTCACCAAACTGCGGGAGGCAGTGGAGGACAGGAGTGCCTGGCGTGCTCTGGTCCATGGGGTCACGAAGAGTCGGCCACGACTAAACGACTAAACAAAAACAATAATAATAATAATAATATTTATATGTCCCCCATCTGAGTGGGTTTCCCCAGCCACTCTGGGCAGCTTCCAACAAAAATTTTAAAACACAATAAAACCTCAAATATTTAAAACTTCCCTGTACACAGCTACCTTGAGATGTCTTCTAAAAGTCATAAATAATAATGATTTAGTCATAAATAATAATAATTTCTTTAAAAATGTAATTATTAGTGGGAGGTGTCAGAAGCTAAAAACGCTGTGCGCACACCACAAATAAAACTACCATGAAACTGGATGCTAAGACATTGAAAGCTCATTGGTTTTAAGGGGCCTGTGAAAATTAAGCACCATTCCATGAGTACAGTTGGGGGTACTTGCAAGAAAGCTCTTTTCTCTTGCACTCATCCTCACATTATGGTGATATTCAGATCTCACCACAGGAAATGTGTGGTATTGACAGGAGGAAAAAAGCAGTAAGTTGCGATTTGCTGTACTTCCCTTGATAGCAGAATGTAAGGCTGGTGTCAACAAAAGACAGAGCCTTCTCTGGTGTGGCACCTCCCTTATGGAATACTTTGGCACGTGAGGCCCATCAGGCCCCATATCTATACAGCTTCAGAGGAAGACCCGGCTTTTTGAAAAGGTCTTTAAATAACGGTGCCATGTTTATTGGCTCAATTTCTGCCAATGGAATTTGTTCAACAGGTTGGATATGGAGGACATTAACTTGAATGTGTACGTGTGTGTGTGTGTGTGTGTGTGTGTGTGTGTAGCATGTTCTGTTTTATACTGCCTTTATTTGGTAACTGCCTTGAATCTCTTTGAAGAAATAGGTGTGGCGTTTGCCCTCCTATGTGTGTGACATCATACTGGGTTCATAGGGAAAGGGTTAACTAATTGTAAAATGACTAACCAATGGGAACCCAGGGGGCAGAGTTAATGGTGTACAGTGGTACCTCAGGTTAAGTACTTAATTCATTCCAGAGGTCCGTTGTTAACCTGAAACTGTTCTTAACCTGAAGCACCACTTTAGCTAATGGGGCCTCCTGCTGCCGCCACGCCACCGGAGCACGATTTCTGTTCTCATCCTGAAGTAAAGTTCTTAACCTGAAGCACTATTTCTGGGTTAGCGGAGTATGTAACCTGAAGCATATGTAACCTGAAGCGTATGTAACCCGAGGTACCACTGTATATGTTTTAAGCACAGGGGTTTTTAAGGGAGTTAGAGTTGTTGAGAAGACAGTCTGGAATTAGAAGAGACAGAGAAGATATTTCCGTGGGTTGGGCTAGTCTGGTGTGAGAGAGGGAGAGAATTTGTTAAGATGAGTCAGTCGAACAGTTGAGATAATCAGTCAGAAGGTATTAGGAAGGTAAAGAAACTAAAGTTAAGATACTGACAGGAATATTATCTGAGAAACCATAAACTTGTTAACGTTTGTAAAATAAACTTGTTTTATTTGGTTCTCTTTTAACAACTGACTGGACTCAATGTTTTACCAGAGAGTAACGGGTTGGTGGCAATGGAAAAGTGAGCACAGTGGTGGCGCAGGGATCAGTAGACCGTTAAACGTCTGGGGACCCTGTGTGATCGCTACAATAGGTAAGACAGAAATTCTGAAAACAAATAAATCAACAAACCAGATGCCCACGCTCCCTGGAAAAGACCCTGATGTTGGGAAAGATGGAGGGCACAAGGAGAAGGGGACGACAGAGGACGAGATGTTTGGACAGTGTTCCTGAAGCTACCAGCATGAGTTTGACCAAACTGCGGGAGGCAGTGGAAGATAGGAGTGCCTGGAGTGCTCTGGTCCATGGGGTCACAAAGAGTCGGACATGACTAAACGACTAAACAACAACAACAAATCCTTCTGGACAGCA